GGTTCAATTTTACATTTTAATAAGAAAAAATAATCAATAATCACTAATCAATAATCCACATAACCAACGGAATTGTCTATAAATATTGGTAATGTGCAATTCTGAAAAAGAGTGGCGCAGTATTTTTATAATTCAGATCGTTTATATATTGTATCATAAACATTTTTCTTTATCAGTCGTTGGTCAATCATCTTTTTAAAAGTCAATCTTTGGAAATATATTAATAATTCAACTCAAATTCAGAGTGAATAAATGAGCACAATGTCACTTTGATCAATGGAACTGCTACTATTGATCAGTATTGCACAGGCATATTATTTTTTACGCCTAAGACCTTCATCACGTATTATGTTATGGTACCGTTTGTCCGCCTGACCGTCTCTCCATGGAACAAACCTTAATTTAGGTTTAAAAAACGCTAGAGTAGAATTTAAATAATATTGTTTTAAGCGGTGTTTAACACTGCTGTTACCGATATTAATTCTCAAATATATCGTTTGTACATTTGAAAAATGCTTTTTATAAGTGTTGGGCAATTGAAATGAAATAAGAAAAAGCTCTATTCACTTTATAAACAAAAGAAATTACCAAAGGCTTATGTAACATCCTTTTCTTTTTCACGTAAATTTTTTTTACCTTTCTTCTGTATCTTTTATATATCTTCTTTCATAAAGTAACATTTATTTATTTAAGAAACGCCGAATTTCGATTTACCTTGAAATGAAAATAAGGTTTCACAATGATGTACAATACAGTCATGTTTATCCTTTAATGACCAGTTTCGACACCTTTAAGGATTTTTTGCCTGTGTTATGTAAAATCGCGTTATAATTTCTGTACATACTGTCTTAACTAGTATTGACATAGATTCATTGACTTATTTTTTTCCGGAACAGTTAAAGTTCGACTCAATCTGGAAGGGGCACTGTTTTAAAGGAGTGCCCTAAAACGACGCTAGCGACTGACTAATTTATTATCACACTTTTTGTGACTGCACATGTAAATAGTGTATTTACGTTAACCAATGATAATAGTAACATGGATCTACAATTTACTTAATAAAAATAAATAAATAAATAACGTTTTTCTCTTTTTTATTTATCTGATAAAGATGAGTTAAATTTTTATTTTGTGTATTTTTTATTAGAGTTCTTTTATAGTAAATTCACTCTTTATTTACACAGTGTGGCACTGTTCTCACACTAGTACAGTGTCGACATTTTGCTCCTTCCCACTTGGCTCATGTCAGAAAAGTACGTCTTCTGACGCCAGTGTAAATAAATTACACACGAAACAAATCTCTGTGTCGGAGTCCTTATGTTCAGAATCATTGCTGACATCAGCATTCAATTTTGCTGACATTGGTTTGGTAGTTTCAAAAGGTCCATGTTTGAGCCCTGATATTCTGTTCTTTACTTTTTTTAGGGTTTCTTATTTTCTTTATGTTAGGCTTAATTTTTATACTGACAAACCTGGTCAACTATAGACTCCTCAGTTATTACATTGCCACTGACAATAGTACTTATGTACCTTTTGCAATTTTCATGTTATTTTGTTGTGATAATGCTTCCGAGGGACCACTTTGTTTCCAGATTCAGTGTTATTATATTTTTCTGGTCCTGCGGGATCATTGATGCCAGCACTATTAAGTGTTGAGAATTGAGAACCGCTTAAATAGAGAGAAATAAAGAATCCCTAATGAAATAGATAAATACAGAATCCCTAAAGAAAGCCCAACACGGCAAAATTGAAAATGTTGCAGGCTCGGTTTGATTGAGCCTGTTCATGGACGGTACTGGAAAGTGCAAGTTACCGTCAACGCCCCCTAGCACCGGCTTAAGCAGAATTCAACATTTAACATGAACTGGTAAAATTTAGAATTTTGAAACATCCGCAGATGTGTTCATATGGCGGTTATCATGGAACCTTCAATGTGACACGGTAGTGCCATTCCATGAAAAGCGGCATATGGTCCCCAAGTAAAAAAATGCGTGTGCCCTAAACGAGAAAACAATGGGCGGAACTAAATAAAATGGAATTTTGAAAGGGGATCTGAGGTTATGAAGCCTGCGTATCACAGATAGGACGTCAAAAGACAAATTTAAAAAGCAGGCAACATATCCTAAGGGTGATTCAACATTATTCAAGTAGGAATATTGGAACCACCCAAACTAGAAAGTGCCAAAAAGTTGAAACTAAAAATACCTCAAGCACAACAATAATGTCGTGCTGAACGATCTTCAAGGATCGAAAATATAACATCATTGATTAAATGTACGGGGAGACTTTTTACAGCCGCCACACGGCACAAATAACACGGATGTGATCATAAAATAGATAAATACAGAATCCCTAAAGAAAGCCCAACACGGCAAAATTGAAAATGTTGCAGGCTCGGTTTGATTGAGCCTGTTCATGGACGGTACTGGAAAGTGCAAGTTACCGTCAACGCCCCCTAGCACCGGCTTAAGCAGAATTCAACATTTAACATGAACTGGTAAAATTTAGAATTTTGAAACATCCGCAGATGTGTTCATATGGCGGTTATCATGGAACCTTCAATGTGACACGGTAGTGCCATTCCATGAAAAGCGGCATATGGTCCCCAAGTAAAAAAATGCGTGTGCCCTAAACGAGAAAACAATGGGCGGAACTAAATAAAATGGAATTTTGAAAGGGGATCTGAGGTTATGAAGCCTGCGTATCACAGATAGGACGTCAAAAGACAAATTTAAAAAGCAGGCAACATATCCTAAGGGTGATTCAACATTATTCAAGTAGGAATATTGGAACCACCCAACTAGAAAGTGCCAAAAAGTTGAAACTAAAAATAAAGCCCAACAAGACAAAATGTTGCAGACTCGGTTTGACTGAGGCTGTTCATGGACGGTAATGGAAAAGTACAAGTTACAGCCCATGCCCACTAGCACTGCCTCAAGCAGAATTCAACATTAAATCATGGTAATAGAGAAATTTTGAATTTAGAAACATCCGCAGATGTGTTTATACGGCGGTTATCATGGAATCTTCAATGCGACACTTTTGTGGTATTCCAAGAAAAGCGGAGTATGGTTCCCAAGTAAAAGAATGCGTGTGCCCTAAAAGAGAAAACAATGAGCGGAACTAAATAAAATGAAATTTTGAAAGGGGAACGAAGGTTATGAAGCCTGCAATTCACGGATATGACGTCAAAGGATACATTAATAAGCAGGCAACATACCCTAAGGGTGAAATATAGCCCGACTAGAGAAATGCCAAAAATTTAAAACTAAAAGTATAACAAACACAACAAGAATGTTTTGCTGAACTATTTTTAGGGATCGAAAATTTAACATCCCTGATTGAAGCCAGTGCTAGAAGGCGTGAGGGATGTTGCCCTTTTTCATTATCTCTCATGTACAGGCTCAATCAAACCGAGTCTGCAATTTTCATGTTATTTTGATGTGATTAATGCTACGTGTTGGGTCTTCTTTAGGGATTCTCATTTTTCTATTTTCTCGCGTCCGGAAAACAAAAACTGTAGCACATTATAATCAAGTACTGTTTGCACAAACCTGAATCTAAGATGACAGTTTGAGGTTTACACTCACATACGACAACAGCTGATGGGAAATGGAAATTAGACAAACATTTTTCATCAACAATGTATATGCGTTCTAGTCATGACATAATAATATATTTGTCAAGAACTGAACCCAGTTCTTCATATCATTTGGTCACACATTTCATAGGTGCAGCCTTTGTAAAATAAGCACGAAGTTTGAACAGCTTAAGTTCCGGCCAACTTGACATGAAATATCAAGAACAAAATCAAAAAGGAAAGGCGGCGTTCAAGAAATCCCCGGAGGCATTAACTGCTAATGTTCCAATAGTCAACTTTAAGTTCTATTCTCCAACTAATTTGTGGCAAAGGAAAGTCTCAAGTAAAAATTTCAAACTACCTTGCAAGGGTTTGATGGGTGCCCCTTTCTGAATGATCTTCTCCAATTCTTACACGAAGGAGGTTGGTGAAAAGCATCTGCCTTTCCGTTGTGGGAGCTACAAACCAAAACAGGATCTGGATCCATTTAGCAGAGCTTGTAATATGTTGGCCTTTCATCACACCAATTCCAGATGTACATATCCTATCAATTTTCAATAATAACTTGAATTAATCAATAACGACAATATCATATAACGCGTACAGATTGCAACAGTCTGAAATTCTGCAACAAAATAACACGATTTATGGCAATACGAACAGTAGACAGTAAGGAATATTTGATCAAGTCCGTGACACAATGCATGTTATCATTGTGTCTTTGGTGTGGTCAGCATGTCATGCATATGTTTGCTGTTTTCCAAATCAGCTTGCAGGAAAGCAAATACTGCTGTATATAAGTGTGACTTGTTCTGACTTACTTACTGACGTAATTCTTTGATCAGATTTAAAGATTATACATGACCATAATTTTGATTATAATCGCTTGCTTTTTTAACTTGATCGCATATTTAACACAAATGCTGACTTCCTAGCCCTAGAGAAAATAAAAGACCAAAAGAAGTCATAACACAAATATTATGGTAATTAAACTGGTTCTAGAGGAAAGAGTTTTTAAGATTCTTTCTATCATTTCATTTGGTTGCTAGGGCAACCAGATTATGCATGGAATCAAATTATTTGAACATTTTTAAAGACAGACACCCAAAGAACAAACAATACTGGCACGTTTTGTAGAAATCGGACCTGTTTTTTTTAAAGGATTTTTTTTTTAAATTCACTATGTTTTCTATATTGCAGAAGCACACGCGCACGCACACACACACACGCGCGCGCACGCACGCACGCGCGCGCGCACACTTGCACGTATACACATACACGTACGTGCCCACATCCCTCTTCGCTGTCTTGTAAATAACAAACATTTATATTAAAGGAAAACAATTCAAGAGGTTTTGAAGAGTTTTGGTTTGAAAATCGACTATATTCTGATATTTATAGCTTATTGCTTTAATCGATAACATTGATTTTTATCATTATCGTTATAAAGAAAACATTTTATATATTCAATCACATTAGTGATTTTCATAAAACGGACTGGCAAATACTTGTTAGGTAAGTAATTTACTTACAATTAAAAAGAACTTCAACGAATTTCATTAATTTGGTTAAAAGATAGACACCAACGACTTTCATTAATCTAGTTAAAAGAAATATCTTTTGATTTATTCGTATAAACATTAAATAGAGACAATTGCCATTGGTTAATAACTTCTATGAATTCACTTATTGTAGCAAATAAAGTAGAAAAAACGGAATTGCTAAAGAACACCCAAAACGGCAAAATTAGAAATGTACCAGGTCGGTTTGATTGAGCCTGTGCTTTGACAGAACTAGAAAGTGAGACATAAAAAATGTAAAATTCAGTTTATGTTATATTAAAAGAAAAAACAAAAAAGAAAACAAAAACAAACAAACAAATCATATAGAGAAAATAACAGAATCGCTAAAGAAAGCCCAACACGACAAAATTGGAAATGTTGCATGCTCGGTTTGACTAAGCCTGTTCATGGACGGTACTGGAAAGTGCAAGTTACCGCCCACACCTTCTAACACCAGCTAACGTAGAATTCAACATTTAAACACGAAAATGGTGAACTTTGGAATTTATCAACATCCGCTGATGTGTTCACACGGAACCATCACAAACAACAACAACAACAAACACAAAACGACGACAAAAACGAAATTAACGCCTTTTAAATAAAACAAAAACCGTTTAAATTGTACAGGTTTATTTTACGTTTCATAACTTATCTATTTCTTTCTATCGCTTTTCTAGACCTTTGTCTAAATACAACTTGAATCGTTGCATATAATTGTAGAAAGTGAATAAAACGTTTCAAAAAGTATCCCCTGATATTAAATGTCGCTTTTTGACAAAAACACGGGGCGAAATGATATGCAATGTTTTTAATTTCATTTCCTTTTAACACGTGCGATAATTTAGTTTGTGTCATTCATCAATAATTGACTAGAAAGCGCCAGTTTACAAAATTAAATAAGTATCTGGTGTCGACCCCTTTACAATGAGTAAACTTAAAAATGGATGATGGTATTCTTGCAAACGTCAGAATGAATGAGTTTGAGTCATTGTGCGTATTATATTGTGTACAATACCGCATCGATTTGACTTATAATGTAAATCGCATGATTACGATACAAAAAAGGAAAAGAAAGAATAAAAAGTTTTACACTGTATGTTTTAGATTCACGTAAATTGTATCAAATCTCTTTAATAACACGCCTTTTTACATTGAAAATCATTGTTTAAAAATATATTAATTGGCGCAACACTTAAACTATTTATTTTATGTATTCATAAGCATATTTAATCTTTATTATTATCAAGCCTTTGTTGTTATTATATCATGTGACAGGCAGCGCAATTTCTAAGTGTCTATGTCATCAATAATCAATCTGATTAGTTGATCTAAATCAGACTTTTATGCGTCAAGTCTTTAATGTTTAAATATTTCAGTAATAACATACAGTCTAAGGGGTGTTCAGGAAGTTTGATTAAAATTTTTAAAATGGCACAAAATAGAGAAAAACAGAATCCCAAAGAAAGCAAAACACGTCAACATTCAAACTTCTGCAGCCTCGGTTTAAACAAGCCTATTCATGAACGTAAGTGGTAATTGTACGCAACAGTCCACACCCTCTAACACCGGTTTATGCAGAATTGAACATCTAACATGAACGATTTTTGAAACATTCGCAGATATGTATAATGCATTCTTGTTGAAAAGTTGTAAATCAGATATTTGTTTCTAATAATATATTGCAGTTTAGATATAAAAACACACCTAACCGAGTAACAGAAATTTAATACTACCAGTTTTAATACGTAGGAACATATGAGATGCGTTCCCATCAGTATATTTTAGCATAATAAAGGATTGTACCTTTCGGTATGTTTTACATTTTTTCTTGCTATGCATGTATGTACACTTTGTGAATTAAAGAATTTACAGTCAGTCATCCTTTCTTACATATTTCATTATAGTTACATGTATAATGGATGTGATAATATAAATGATCGTTGGTATAAGTAAATGTTGATAACAGTGTTACTGTATTTCATTTGAATGCGTTTAGAAATACAGATTAGAAATCAATTGATTCTAAACTCATAAATAGATCGAGGAAGACAAATATTGATAGAAAATCTGTTAAAGTACAATTAAGTATTTTATTAAAATTAATGTATTGCAAAACAGTTCTAACTTAAATGATTACTCAACTTTATCTAGGTAAATAATGTATTTTATTAAATATTTTAAGTTATTATTAATTAAGTTTAAAATTATACATTCTGACCACTCCCTTCATAATGTTTTACTTTTATATCCACATGGTAAAGAGTGAACAATATACACGTGATTTTGTTCCCTTGTATGAATATCTATCTCTCTCAACAGTTTATCATAATAAGGCATTATTTAGCCCAGACATCACCCCATTTCGGCAAGATAATTCGAATATTTGGTAAAAAAAGTCAATTCAATAGTGTACGTTGGCAAATTAACCCAGTTGTTTGACACAATCAGACAATCTTAAGACATTTAAACACCGTATTTTGACAAAACAACATGGTAGTTTGATGAAATAAAGCTGTGCTTTTACAAGTCAACACCAAATTTCGACAAGAGAACACTACTGTTTCAAATGACATAATATGACACCTTACAGACAAGCCAAAACGACATTTTGACATAATAACACTTCTGTTTGAAATAATTAAACAATGTTAACACAAGTCAACATCATATTCTAAAGAGATAAGACTACCTACTGTTACGCATAATAAGACAATATTTAGACAAGTCGACAAATTACAATGGCATTACAACGCGTATATTTGACATGATAAGAGGCTTTCTTGGCAAGATATAAAGAAATGTAATAACATGAGGCAGCTATGGCGTTCCATAAAAGAGCCTATGCAGCTTGTGTATATCGGGCATTCAAAGTGTACCATGTCCCAGAGTCTTCTTTGAGAGAAGGACTAGACATAATGTCACCCTTGAGGCACGTCCTGGACCAGAGACTCTATTGTCGTCTCTGGAGGAGGAATAATTAGCACAGCATATAAAGTATATGGCCAGATATGGATACACCATGACAGACATGGCTGCTGGCTATGTCAGTTCAATTGGGCGAAGGGTGATTTAAGTACTGTACGGTACTATAGTTTCATGAAAAGAAACGCAGACTTGAAAGCTGTCAAGCCTCAAAAGCTTGATTTGGATAGAGCTAAAACTACCTCTGAAGAAAACATGAACAAGTATTTAAAAAAACTGAAGAAAAAGCACTGTACCTTAATTCTGTCTCTTTAGATAGACGAGCCACATTAATCCTGTATGATGATCACAAAAGTCATGTATTGTTGACTTTGAATTAATTGGCTAGACGGATGAATGTGGTCCTCTTTGTACTTCCCCCATATACTAGTCATCTCACAAAACCACTGGATGTTGGTGTTCATGGCCCATTCAAAGCATTCTTCTTCACTGAGTGTCAGCAGTATTTGCAGAACAACCCGGTGTATACATTACCTAGTATGAAATTGCTTCACTAACTTCGAAGCTGTACTTGAAAGCTTTCTCTCCATCAAATATCACATTGTTGCATTTATTATAAATTCACAATTGTACAGTTATTGTTCACTTAACTACATTAGGTAGTTGACACATCTATGACTTGTAGCGGCTTTTAAAAGTCTCCCAGTACATTTAATCAATGATGTTATATTTTCGATCATCGTTCAGCACGACATTATTGTTGTGTATAGATGTTATGCGGTACTTTTAATTTCTTCTATTTGGCTTCTATTTGGCCTTTTTTCAACTTGGGTGGTTCCAGTATTCCTACTTGAATACTGTTTAATCACCCTTAGGATATGGTGCCTGCTTTTTAATTTTTTCTTTTGACGTCATATCTGTGATGTGCAGGCTTCATAACCTCAGATCCCCTTTCAAATTCCGTTTTATGTAGTTCCGCCCATTGTTTTCTCGTTTAGGGCTCAAGCATTCTTTTACTTGGGGACCATACGCCGCTTTTCATGGAATGACACTACTGTGTCACATTGAAGGTTCCATGATAACCGCCGTATGAACATATCTGCGATGTTTCTAAATTCAAAATTTCACCATTTTCGTGTTAAATGTTGAATTCTGTTTAAGCCAGTGCTAGAGAGCGTGGACGGTAATTTGCACTTTCCATTACCGTCCATGAACAGACTCAATCAAACCGAGCCTGCAACATTTTCAATTTTGTCGTGTTGGGCTTTCTTTTGGGATTCTGTATTTCTCTATTTTGCTGAAAGCGTACTGTATGGTAAAGATTTTTACCGCGAGAATATAAATAACTTTTTTTGCAATGTCAATATCATGATACCTGTTTATAAAATGGCGGAAATACAACTGAAATGATTTCACGTCGATTTCCTTCATGTAAATTATTCAATTAATGGTTAAATTGGATGAAGAACAAGGTAAATATTTTGTTTGTTATTACATGACTTTATTTCCTTAGTATTGCGAGAATACCTGCACAAACAGGTTAATTACAAATGTTATTTTCGAGATTGCAACAGCTAGTACAATACAATTCAATTATAATACATGCGTAATTACAATTAAATTTATTATGGAATAAAACTTCCGAAACAAAATATCATACGATTTATTTTAGAAGGGTTTGAACAGTTAAACAATAATTTCGTGTATGAGCCATTCGCTCTTCAGTACCAAGAGTTTCGGAGTTAATCTGTTTCAAAAATAAAACAATATTATTGGAGAATGCAGATTCAGACATAAAGAGTTGCGCACTTCAACAACTAACACCGCTGTTAGAATTTACTATAATCGGTATCACATATTCTTTTGTTGATATTGTACATAATTATAAGAAAGAAAAATACTTACATAAATTTATTTGATTTTGATTTCTCAATCGGTTACATTAATGACACTGGGATAAATCAAAACCTTTTTTATTAATAAATCTATAATCAGTATATAATCATTATCTTCAAACAATATTATATAAAATAATTTAAATATACTGTAACTGCATAGTTTATATCAAACAGCGAATGAAATTTTATCACAAATAGTTATAATCACAGATTCAATGCACCAAAATTACTTCCCTTTAGGCTAACAAATGGCTGTAACTTGACTGAAATCATAATGAAAAATAATTGAAATATGTGCTTGAAATAAATGGCTTTTACGTTCTTAAGGCGTTCATATTTGAGTCAATAATTTTGCGTTGCAAATGCGCTACTCACTGCAGGAAGGCGTTTTGATTTTTCATTTATCATTTTAATCACACACATGTTATTTATTAAAGTTAGAAACTTTATCTCCCACTTCTAATTCTGTTGCCATTTTAATATTTTTGTATGACTTGATGCTTCCGAAGAATGCATTTTTATAAATGAAACTGCCCTTTATTTATATCTCGTTCCTAGTTTTGAATAACATATATATGATTGAAGGTATGGTTACTATATTTTACTTTTGTGAAAATGTCATTGCAGCATTGAAATTAACACCTTTGCTGCTAATACCAGCCAAAATGAACATTACACTGCGAACATCATTATCGATTGCCATTGTTTTACTGATAATGCGGAAAGATCATACAGATGCATGCTGCTTTCCAAGCCAATTTGAAGGTCAACTAAACATTTTGATGCCAAAGGAAAATAATGCCGGGTCTTACAAGGAGGTATTTAGTTTCAAAACTTAAAATCTGATATAAAGAAATATAAATAAAAAAAGAAAAACAAAAAATAAACAACTTTTTAATTTTAACGAAATATAAAAAAATATTAAAATTCATGAAATTGTGTATATCGCCAATACAAAGGTCGCAGTTCTCTCTACATGCTTGATGTTAAAACCTAAAATGAATTGGGCAGCATATATAACTTTATCTGAAAAATAAACTATGACATGTCTCCTTCAATTTGTTACAGAAAGATATTGACATCACGTTTGACTGGACAAAAAGACGCATAAGAGAGTACTTTCCAGCTGAAGGTTATGTGCAATTACTGTTTTTCGAAAAGGTATTATTACATAAAATCATACATGTCGTAACTGCATTGTTTAGACTAGCTACTGTCTTCCGATTTTATTCAAAGGTTCATTATTAGCACTTGATCAAAGTTAAATAATAGAAATATCTTTATTACTCCAAAATATGAACACAGAGAAGTGAAGTATACATCCTTGTAAGATTATTTATAAATCAAACAAATAAAGATAATTATTTGATATACGTATTTTATAGATTTACACAATGATTACAATATAAGTTCATTGAAACAAATAAACTTTAGTTAAAAAAATATTAGTTTACTTTATTTTTATTAATGAAATCTGAAGTCAGAATTTGTATCTTACATTTAATGTTTTGCAATTTTCCTAAATATAAATAATTTTATTGGCAGGCTGTCAGCTATATCATCCAGAATTCAACTTGCAGTGTCGGACAACTGTCTCCTTTCCCATACGGAGCATTCTGTGTCCCAGGTATGTATGACAAAATGAATTTCAACGACATTCGTCAGGGTATCTTTGTGTAGCGTATACTAAATAATTCCATATGGCCCACACCTTCATCAGCAAAACATATACCATTTTCAAGATCTTCATTAACGTCATCCGTTGCGCAGAATTTGAATATGTTTTAGCTATTTTAAAATACATTTCCTCAGTCCATCTAGAACAAAATATGGTAAACAAGCTCATCAAGGAAAGGCGGCGTTCAATGAACACAGCCCAAAGTCATAGAACACATTGAGTTATACTTATGGAAAGGATTATATTTTGCAAATACTATCCGCGGTTGTACGAGTAGTCCAGTTTCAACGTGTTCTTTTTCCTCATCCTATTTTTATATAATTATATTAATGAATGTTTTTCAATTAACGTTGAACTTCATTTTTTTTCATTTTTGAAACCATCGTTAAATTATTGAAGTCATTAATATGTAGAGAAAATTATGTTTTATTTTCAGATAATGCTAAACGTATGAAAAGTTACACACTTGGTATGAAAAAGCAGATAAATGTCACTGATTATTTGTATACAATGGATCAAATGCAGATATTGCGGACAATATCTGACAAATGTGTGCCGGTGGCGGATTTATATTTCCAGGAGAAGTGTAAGCGTTATATAACATATCTTATGAATAAATCTACGCAAAGTTTAGCTCAATCAGATGAGGTGGTTCTGACGACTGGTGATGGGTGAAAAATTTTATTTTATGAGGCTTTGAATTTGCAATATAAATTGTTTTTAATATTTTCAAATTCGTTCATGTTTTGTAATAAGGAAATAAGGTCTCCCTTATGAAACTTTAACAAAACAAAAATTTATACATTCATGTACAATTTATATCTTACGTCCATTAACGTTATTGAGCAAAAGGAAATAAATAAATGTAATATCTTAATCACGAAACAAATAATAAATTATGTAAAAAGTAAGTTATGATAAAGTAGTATTGCAAATTTTAAGTGATGATATTTTGTATTTTAATAGTATGCTTCGTTGAAATTATAGTTAATAAGATACTAATATTAATATATTACACACATCTTATCAGTTTTTAAAATATTGTGCTGTCCTTCTAGCAAACTTTATCACATACATGGTCACCTATCAGAACTTGACTCCTGGAATTAAAGACGAAAAGGTGTTTGATGTACCAAGTTTCTGCAAATCAAGCACCAAGAAGGTATTCATTTTCAAAGCAATAAAGTGAACGAGATCAATTGTTCAAAATATGAAAGTGGCATTTTGTCTGTAGCATATAGTAAAAACTGTCTAAGAACTGTTTCGATCCAAACAATCATGCAAGTTTTTCATTTTGCAAAAATATGTTTTTTATGGTTCTCATCATATATAATTGTAGAATATTATCTAAAACTACATGTAAGTAATATATGCCGTTGGTAAACGACACTAGACTTACAATAAAAGACCCAAAATATGCATAAATAGTCATGCAATAGAAATCTGGTTATTAATTCCGCTTTATCAGTCATTACACAATACATTTATATTAATACTTGATCTTAAATAATTTTACTTTTGGTAAACTTTTTAGAATTATTTTGGCTCATCTGTAGGCATGTAGCTTTTCAGCTCAAATAGAAGTTTTGTTATTGCTTTTGATAATCGATGTTTCTTCTTTTTGTAGAAAATAAATTCACGAATAAAGAAGACCAATCTTTTCTGGGATGCCTTCGTTTAAAGTGCAGTGATTTTATCAGCGTTTTCGAAAATGTGAAATATATAAAGATATGTTTCCATTTACAAGGAATATAAATCGGATAAACATAACGTTTTAAAAGACCAAAGTGAAAGCAAAATGTTTGTTTAGAACAAAGAAAAGAAAAACAACAACTAAATAACTGAACACGTTACACAACTAACTGTTTTCATTTTCGTTTTACCATTAGTATGATTGATAGTTTGAAACTTGGAAATATCTGATATTGACACTTTTCTAAAACTATTAGCATGAAATCATGCCTTAATATTATAGTTAGTTTGTACACATAATGTATTAAGAAATCAAAATATCATTCATGTACAGGTTTTAAAGTAAACTAGATCCGGACATCATTTTAAATGTTTATGATATAAAGTATATGCTTGTATTTATATTTTGCATATATATATGTTGGGTATCGCGAATTCCCGGTACTCTCTTTAAACATCATGTTCTTCTTCCCGTCACTTTAAACTGGTTCCGATACGGTTTTGCCACTAAAAATGACCATTCCGTCATGTTCTAGCTCACATCTTTTTAATTATGCCACATTTCATGTGCTAGGGCCGATTCATTTCTTCAAATCTGCTGATAAAATATATGAATCTGTGTCGCACATTCACATTTACCATGTTTTAATCAATCGTGACTTATCATGAGTTATCTATGTCAGCAGCAACATATAAAAAGCATGCGAATACGCAATTATTTGTACTGAATGCTTAAAATTATTTGATTTAGACAAGTTATGTCCTACTGATATATTAACTGAGAAATGATCTCGCAATCCAAAGTTACGTTAGTCACATTTACTCATCAAATCTGGGAAATCATATTCAAATTACTCAATTAAATTTAATTTGTTAATTTCAACTTTAATCGCGATAAACATTATACTTTTCATTTTTGTGTTACCGAAAACACTTAAGTATTCTCTGTCTCATTTTTATCTTGTATCGTTTGTTATTGAATAAATGATAATCACGACATATTTATAGATGAAAATAGCTGTTTTAGAATAACTGCTATGTTACCATCCTTCAGTGTGACCATTATTAAACTGTCTTTGTATGTAAACGTGATACTAGACTTTTGCAGCTTACTCTGACGCGGACAGTGGACATCTGATAACAAACAGATGCTGCGGGGAATTTCTCAAAATGGTTGTAAACTGAAAAGAATAAGATAAACAAGATCAAGAAGGAAAGGCGGCGTTCAATGAACACAAACCCCATATGACCCAGGAAAAAGAACCAATGGCAAGGAGCCCAGGCGGACCCCAAACAAAAACAGGACAGGGCAAAGACAGAGCACGGACAGGTTAAATATTTAATGATAAATAATTTATAACTTATTAGTCAAAATTCAGAACATTTAACTTTCTCATCTATACATGGGAGTATCGGAAGTAACAATACTTCTGGTGATAAAGATATTATTTATATGACATTTTATTGTCACAATTTATTTAACATGGTGCATTTATATATAATTTTTCAATCATCATCGGAGCTGACTCCAAGTTCTCTTAATAATTTGGGATCTTTCTTTGTGATGAACTTGTTGTATTTGCTGGCTTTCTTTAATCAGTGCTGCTAGTAGCCTTTTTCTACCCCTGCCCCTGTCATTGTTGTTCTCTCCGGCATGTTGATCCACGGTTGTCGGTCTCGGAGCGGCAACCACGGTTGCCGGCCTCGGAGAGGCAGCCACGGTTACCAGTCTCGGAGAGGCAGCCATGGTTACCGGTCTTGGAGAGGCAGTCACGGTTGCCGGTCTTGGAGATGCAGCCACGGTAACCAGTCTCGGAGAGGTAGCTACGGTTACCGGTCTTTGAGAGGCAGCCATGGTTACCGGTCTTGGAGAGGCAGCCATGGTTACCGGTCTCGGAGAGGCAGCCATGGTTACCGGTCTCGGAGCGGCAGCCATGGTTACCGGTCTTGGAGTGGAAGTCATGGTTACCGGTCTCGGAGAGGCAGCCACGGTTACCGGTCTTGTAGAGGCAGCCACGTTACCGGTCTTGGAGAGGCAGCGAAGGTTACCGGTCTTGGAGAGGCAGCGATGGTGACCGGTCTTGGAGAGGCAACCATGATTAACGGTCTTTGAGAGGCAGCGGCGGTTAACGGTTTCGGAGAGGCAGCCACGGTTGCCGGTCTTGCAAAGGCAGCCGCGGTTACCGGTCTCGCACTAGGTCCGGGTTGTTGGTCAATCGCTACAAAGGGAAAATGTATATTAACGAAACATATTCATTGATTCAAATTTTTTACAGCAGTCAGTATTTTATAGTCTAATACTGTATTCTTATAAAACTGTATATTAGAATATTTTATCGCAATTGTGAGTTTTATTGTTTCTAAAGCTGAAGCATATTTTTCAACATTTATTTCCATTTTTGATATAAACATAAATCATTTTACAATTTCACTTGTCCTGGGTTTGTAAAATTCAATTATTTAATATTGTATACACGTTATATATACATGTTTATAGTTATAAATGGCATTTAGTAAATAAATTATATTACCTTACCGCCCCGCTACTTACCTTACCTTACATAACCTAACTGTATTGTACAGTACTGTTCAGATAATACAGGAGTAATTCTTTATGTGAGAGTCGCTTCCTTAGTTACATAAATGATGAACAGCTTTATGCACTGATGACAAATATTGGTCCAGGAGATGAACTTGATTCCCCCTCCCCGAGTTAAACATACTAGGAGATAAGATATATCCTAACAGGTATCCGACCATAACAGGATATACGTCTGTACAACTGTCGCGAACACGAGGCCAAGAAAGCAGAAAATTTGGGTGTGGAAACATTCAAGAAAACTGTTATGTAACACGCCGGAATTGTTTGCAGACGAAAGAAATTGGTTTGAAATTGGTTTGAACTATTAACATAAATTTGAAAACTTGATTGTTTATTATCATTTACTTACCCTTTACTTTAAATTAATACACAGTATTATTATTTTGAGAAAACCCCAGAAAAGTATCAGAAGTCCATCGTCTGCTGTCGGATTAAGCTAAAAAAGTCTATATATCGATAGAACGAAGGAGATATTCAGCGAAAATTTTTTTTTAAACATAATCGACCTCGTATGAGTAAACCTCTTTACACTACAAACTAAGTTTGACTCTTTATAGTGCAAATCATAAACTCTAGTACTGTTAATTGTTTTAAAAAATATGTATATTGTTATTATAGACGCTTGGGACAAAATAAATAGGGGTCGTCTTCTAACCATACAAATCAACATGACTATATTCTATACAATGAAACTGAATTCTGAAGGGTTCTCCAATTATTTGTTGGATTTTTTAAAGATGTCAGGTGATTATGGTAATACTGCCTTGAATTTTAGAATACTGGCCTCAAGAATCAATACAGTACATTCAAAAACATAAGCAACATCACAATTTAGGAAGGTAGGCACAATCGTTATCTACATGTAGTTATTGTTTGGACCAGTTTTTAGTGGTCATGTTTACGTTGACCGGTATGCAATATTCCCATCACGTTTTACATAGGGTTTTCACAACTCAAGTTATTGGACCAGCTTCACAATATTTACGTACGAAAGGACCCCGGCCACTATACAAATGGGGATATAACACACTCCTCGAACAGCTAAAAACAACTTCATACTCAAACATCACATCACTATCATCAAAGCAGCTGCAGTTTGCGGATAAAGTACTTGTGTAAACTTCCGGTAATGATAAATCATAAGAGATTTATTATTTTTTATTTACAAACTTAAGGAAATATATTTTTTATCTGTATTATTTTGACGAGCCAATAAGATGCTATAAGGAAGATAATGTATTATGAGGGTCCAGAAAAATATTCTACTCTGGGTTTTAATTTTGAAACCTGTGTAAGTTTTAGTAGTATTTCTAAAAGAATTATTTATCTTGAGTATTTAGCACTACCAAATATCACATATTCAATACCTCAAAAGAAAACAGATGAATTAAATTTAGTCTGTTTGACGAAAAGAAGAGTTTTGATGAAAGTTCGTTAAAGAAAGCAAAAGATTCTCACGTGTTAGAAATAATAAATGTCACAGTTACTCAGGTCGTCAGCTAGCTGCAATGGTTAATATTAACCACTTAATAAGACGCTAGCAAAAATATTACAATGTCATGTTTGTAAGAAGACGTTATCATGTATAAGGTGTGCCCTTGACAATCCTTGTGCTAGGAGTGTCTCTAAGGTAAACTTTTTTCACTTTCTTCATCGCAGCGTTCTTGCAAAACTGAACTCCGTATGACCCTAGAGAACAGCTTGTCCTCTAAAATGGAACAAAAATTCAACATCATTTAAAGAAATGAAACTAGCAATCTGTGGTTTTTGTTATTTTAACTTTCAATACTTATTATTCACCTTATTGTTGATCTTAGGCAAAGAAATTTTCTAGTACGAGATAATATGACTATCATAGACAGTGTATCTTTACTAAGAGTTTTTATGACAGATATATAATTATACTTTGTATCATTTAAGCAATCACTACGCATCCTGTCCGACCACAATAGCGATTCTTGCCTTGATATAGGGCTACCTAAATTGTAACAGATACATCGTAAAGTCCAAGTTCTTACAGTCTTAATGAATGTCGCCTTGCAATGCTTATTTTTATTTATTTTCATATTAGATAAGCAAGACGTAATTTACCAAATATCAGCTTGGAATAAATCATTTTGTGCGACATTTTAAATAGCTATGAACTTTTTTTTAAATAGACATTTTAAGATTGCAGAAAACTGTTTAATTAAGGAAAGCATGATCTACTAGAATATTTTGGTCACTATATTGTACAAACAATTTTCTTTTAATTCCTGGTATGTATTATTAAAGTAATCACCTTGTCCGTGTGTACTTTGCCTTGTTCCCTGTCCTGTTGTTGTTCGGGTCCCTTTCCGGTGGTACTGCGTTGCTGGGTCGTGTCGGTCGACCTTATTTGTTGATCTTGTTTTAAATTTATTTCAAGAAAAGTCATGGATAGCGTTTCCTACTTGTTACACCGATACATAAATGCAAGTGTCAACAAGTGACATAAATTTTTGAATGGCCCTTGTTTTCAAGCTGTGGTGATTCATAAGCTAACTACTAACTACCAGGAAGATTTCGTAATTTTGAAGGGCTATAAATCGAGATATGTTGGAGTTTAATTGAATAGAAATAGATAAACTTGTCAAGAGATATTTTATAGCTTAGTGAGCAGTAAATTTCAAGTCGATAGAGGTAAGTCATTTACATATTGCATGTTGTATTATTGTTTTATTTATGTCGAATACTCAACAATGTCTTTC